GTGTCGGTTTGTCTGTGTGTCTTTATCGGTATCTGTATTCAAGGATTTCTGAAAATCTTGAAGGTTTGTTTGTATGTAACTGTGTGTGTGTGTGTGTCTGTTTGTTTTTGTATCTTTATCTGTGTCTGTATCCAAGGATTTATGGGGTGCTCCTATCGTATAACTTTAGAACTCTAGCTTCCTTCATTCGAGGATGTCAAAACAAATGATATTTCAAAAGTTTCTTGAAAACATGTCGGCTCATGTTGTTAAATTTTTTCAAATCCACAGGTAGTGAGTTTCAGATTTTTCCATTTTTGCAGATGAAACAGAAATTCTTTTTTCCCAAAGCGAGACAAACAGAATTTAGATATCACAAAATCGCCATTATTAGAAGATCTCAGTCGACTCCGATTTGCAATTCTTGAGACTAATTGTTACTCTTTTTTTAAATGAATTGAAGCGTCTCCAGCAAGACAATCTCTGATTAAAAAAGTTAATTTGAAAACAATTCTTTTTGTCAAGCGGTGCTAGTGTAGTTCATCCCTAATGTATGCCGATATTAAATCGAGTTTCGATTAACCAACAACAAGTCTTGCTACGTGCGGTGTTCAAATCAGACTGCAAATAATAAAAAAGGAATAAATTGACACTAAACATAATCGCATTGTGGTAACAATTTTTCCAAAAATAAAACAACAAACGAGTGTTTTTGTTGACCAAACGTCAAATAACGTCTGATTGATCTAATTTTGTGAAGATGATAGAAACATCGCTGGCAGATTTGACTAGTATGTTTTTTAAATGAAAGATGAAGATACAGTACAACATCAAGAGTCGTTACATGGTTTTTGTAGTCAGTTAAACGACTGAGGCCATGCGACGTTTCCGTCTACATATATTTGGTATTTTGACGTTGAGTTTGAGCTTGTTTGATGACATCCAGCGACCTACTGAGTCAGCTGCATTTGGTACAGCAGAAGAAACTTGAAGTTATGAGTCAGGCAGTCCAAATCTGTAAAGTTGAATATCATCAGCTTATAGATGAGAACTAGACCGGCTTCTTCGATGACATTGACAAAATTTGCGCTGTACATGATATATGGCAGAGGACCAAATACTGAACCCTGTCGTACACACGGCAGATCAATTCTGAAAAAGCCCTGCTCAGACCACTCTCATTCACAGCACTCACAACTTGAGACCTGCTTTGGATACGAAGGTAAGGTGCAAAGTGAAACTACAGTTGGTCGCTATGTTGTTTGCTAGACCTGCCTGGCCTTTTCAACAACGGTTTGACTACTGCAATTTTTTGAGACCTGGGTAACGTTGATGTTTATAAACATTTAGTGACCAGATTTTGTATAACTGGTAGAATCGTATCAACAAATTCCATCATGAGTAATGTTGGAATAGGGTCGAGGCAGCGTGTTTTACTTGAAGAAGACAAAATGATGGTCTCGAAATCTGTCTTGGACATACTCTCAAACTAGTGGAAAAGGCTATTGATCGACGAATTTTAGTGCATTAACAGCCTCATCAGCTGATGGTCGGATTTTGATTTTAGATATGTAAAATTCTCTTGAGCTGTAATTAGTGGAACGGCCGTGTGTATGTGTGTCTTTTTGTATGCCTTATTATGTATTCTTTTGGCTTAGAATGCAAGTATTAGTATTTGTTCAGTAGTATTAGTTGAATTATAACATAATATCGATTGTTGTGATGCTTACCTCAATTGCTTGTTATTGCCTTGCGTTTCAATCAGGTCACGGTAAAACAGGGTCAGTTGACTTTGACGATTACACCACCACGCTACCAAATAAATAAAAATGTTCATATTTTTTTGATTTTAAAATTAGTTTGTGCAGTTAAAACCTTTAAAGAGCAATTTTTATTTTAAATTGTTTTTTGAACAATTTTCAACTCCATTCATTTTTACTATCCGACTTAATTGGTTCTTTATTAACATCGCAAGTTTATTAATGTATTATTTTTATTTTCATTAATTAAAGTGTAGAATGGAAATTTGTTTATTTATTTTTAGCACTTTAACAGTTTAACTTTGCATTTTCTCACAACTTGTTGGTTGAAAATTTTTTTTATTCTGTAGATTTATTGAAGCACTCATTCATTTATTCATTTATTTTTCATTTAAATCTTTTCCAACTCGATATGCTCTCATGTTGAGATTAATAAAAAAATTTAGAAGAAGACATCACATTTGAAAATCATCTATCAATTATTTTTAAATGGAAATTATTTTTATTACTTTAAAGTAGTGAAATCTCTGATGTGTTTTAACGAAGTTAACTTAATTCCCATAAAAATTTAATTTTTCAAAACTAACACAAAGTGAAAATTTGTGAAATTTCAAACAAATCATCTTTTCTGTTACAGGAAGTTCCTCGTTCCTGGCTGTTGTATTTTATAAGAAATTGAGGCTCAAGTTGGACGACTTGATCTCAAAAACATCAAAAATCGACAAAACGCAGCGAAACCTCTCAAAGAACAAATACAACAATCCCAAGTGTGCCCAACCAACGAATGACTTGCATGAAGATGAGCAGTTCGACTTCAACAGCAACATCATGTCAGCCGTCCTAGCCAATAAGAACAATGTCGCAACAACCAGCGACAACCAAACTTCAAAGAACACATCAGCCAACAAAACGTCAAAACTCTTGAAACCGATTATTATGACTTTTCGGCTGACTCAGGTTTGTCAGCGAATTTTCAATTCAAAATGTTTAGTCGATGATTTGTTTTTTTTTTCGTTCCAATATCAATCGATAATTTTCATTTTTTAAACAATAATTTTCAAAATGATTAAAAGACCATGAAAATAAATATTCAATGAAAAAAATTTATGAAACATGATTATTGAAAGCATCAATTTGTTGCATTATGGTTTTAATTAAATCAAAATTACAACATCACATGGAATGCTCAAAATTGACATTACAACATAAAAGTGAACTCCTCAAACTCACTCAAACAACTTAACAAAAACATCTTACTTTGTTGCAAAAACATTGTTTTTGATGCACAAATCTATGCATTTGAATCTTTTGAAAAAAATATATTTTTGGAAGGAAATATGGGACATAATCATTTTAACAAACCAAGAGACAGACAGACAGACAGACAAATAGACAGACAAATAAACACACACACGCAGGAAGTTGAAGATGGTCAGAGTGTAAGTTGTGCTTCTAACGATATGCATCCATCCAGGTAGTCCATCCAACCATCCATCCATCCATCCATCCATCCATCCATCCATCCATCCATCCATCCATCCATCCATCCATCCATCCATCCATCCATCCATCCATCCATCCATCCATCCATCCATCCATCCATCCATCCATCCATCCATCCATCCATCCATCCATCCATCCATCCATCCATCCATCCATCCATCCATCCATCCATCCATCCATCCATCCATCCATCCATCCATCCATCCATCCATCCATCCATCCATCCATCCATCCATCCATCCATCCATCCATCCATCCATCCATCCATCCATCCATCCATCATCTTCATGATCTATTTTTGCATAAAATAAAATTTAGTTATTCATCTATTTACATTATTTATTTTTTGTCGCAACTTCATATTTCCAACTTATTTTTAACCTTTTAAAAACCAATGAACATTGGACGATATTCCCCAAAAGATATATTCAATTGCTAGTTTTTTTAATTCATAATGCATTTCTTTGCGTTGAAATTTACACATCCATCAACATCAAGCTACATTCATGTATATTGGTTAAGAGAGTGAACATATGCAAATATATCACTGTTGTATTTGAAAATGTTCAAGCGGTTACACTTTATGTCTGATGATATTTGTTGTACGCTGAAGTTGGCTGTCATTATTCTAAAAAGGAAGACACACACTACACAGCACATAGGTGCGGGAACATATCAGCATATGAATTCGTCAAATCCTAAGAGGCTATACATTCAAAATTTTCTAAAAACTTCTTAAACGCAATAATACTCATTCGTTCCTATCCATTTTAAAAAGATCCAATATACGTGATGAACAGCATGTCGTACTCTACATACACGCGCTCATGTGAGCTGGAAACATTTAAATCCATATTTTTCACTCCATTAACATTTAATAAATTATTATCATTCAAGTTTCTAAATGCTTTTTGAAAAACTTCTATAAATGAAATTCCTTAAAAATAAAGTTAAAAGAGATGCTACATGATGGAGAGACTGGAAAGAGCATCATAAAAAATGGAGTGGTGTGTGGGAGAGATGATGTACACCCTTGCAAACAAGTTTAATTTATTATTAATAAACTGGGACTTTGTCGAAACCTATTTATAGCTAACAGCCGACACATCAAGTATCTACTAATATAAACGACTCGTCATTTTAACAATATACATTATATAATTTTTCACCTCTGAATTAAACTGTTGTTGAATAAAAAAAAGAATTAATTAAGCTTTAGTTGAATAAATTTTAAATTTTACTGAATTGTAAGAATTATTTAGCAACAAATATCTGACTATTTTTTCAAATTCCCTCTCAATGTTTCAACATAGTTCCAACTTTTTTGTGTTGAAATCATCTTGCGAACTTGTATGCAATTATAAATTGAGTTAAGTGCCTGCCTTCATTCTTCAAATCAGTAAACTTTACATTGAAATTTAAAATCATGGCATAATATAGAATGAAAAATAAACGCATTGAAGAATCTTGAAAGTGGTGTATCAGGTTACAAGATATCTTAAAGATTATATACGAACAACTGTTCGTCTCATGCTGTAAACGTTCAGTCCTTGCGGCGCTGATGTTCCATGCTAATTTTATGTAATAATCATACAAGGTAATGTAATAAGCATATTAATGCGTAAATTAATGTGCGTTCTTCAAAAACGAAACTACAAGATAGAGAATCCGAAAAAATATATCCACGGGATGATGATGATTATAATGGTGGTGATGATGATGAAGATAATGGTGGTGATGATGATTATGATGGTGACGATGATTGTATTCAGTGAGTGGTCAAACGAAGGATGTCACGTGATGTCCCACAACAAGACCCACGTGACCTGCTCCTGTGAACATCTCACCAGCTTTGCCGTGCTCATGTCTTACTCCGCTCACGAAGTTGGTTGGGCTGCTGCTGATGATGATGAAGATGGTGGTGGTGGTAGTGATGATAATTAGAATTATAATAATGGCAGAATGATGATGATGGTGATATAGATTAGAATGATAATGATGGCAAATGATGATGATGATAATATTAATGTTGATGAGAATGATGATGGTGGTGATATTAATAATTATGATAATGGTTATGATCAGACTCAGAAAGAAGGGGGAGGGTCAGGAGGGTAATTCGGCATGGGTTTCCAAACTTAAGGAGCTTCTAAAATAATATTCTTATTAAAAATGTAAAAAATTGTTTGAATTGAAGAAGTTCTTCAACATAAATAGCCTAAAAAAAGTGTTTAATCATTACAATTCTTAAAAGTGACTAATTATGAATTTGATGCTTTCGATCGAGCTCGGTTGAGATCCACAAAGCATGGTGACCGTATTTGTCCACATTAAAGAACAGCTCATTTTTGACCAAAAATGTTTTCAGTTGCGTCCGCCAAAATCTGGAACTTATTGCCAAATACACTTGTTTTATTACTACAAGCCTCTATTAGTTTCGGATTAGACTACAGTCTTTTTCATGTTATGTCTAGTCTAAAAGTTATGTCTAAACTTTAGACCATACAGAACAAGTCCGCTAAAATAATAGTTCAAAAATTTGATCACGGTTGCTCGTGAGACAGGGAATCAAGTTCAAGTTGGAAGTTTTAAATGCTTAAATGGTCTCGCTCCTAAATGCAATAGTAGATAGTTATTTCAAAGTACCAAGATTTTTGTTTTATGAATAAGTATTTAATGTCTGCCGATTTAGATGCGATGAATGTTCGAATCCGTAATCTAAGATAAAAACGGCTTAAGTATTTTTAAATAGCAAAGATGATGATTAGTAATCTATCACAACATGCTTTAAATTGTTCCAGCTAATTATTTCACAGGCTACCAATTAACTGTAACGTAATTTTCTGTTTGTTGAAGAAATAATTCAAGATAACAATTACTTGAAATAGTCTGCCACAAACGCATGTACCCATTTTGTTGTTGTGATATATTTAATTGGGTTTGCGATGTTAAGTGGTTTAAGACTTGCGTTGCAGTAACTGGGTTGAAATGCGAGGAGCTCTCCGCCTGTTGAGTTAATTGCAAAGTTCTTCATATTTTTGCACTACAATCCTGTAGGTTACAACGAACTTGAAGAAATTGTTTAATGGTAACTATTTAATAATATGGTTATGAAATGAATGATGATGATCACTGATACAATGATGTTGAAACAAGCAGGGGATAAATTACAAGACGAAGGAGTTGGACTTCATAACCTACTTCGGCTGCTGTTTGAGTCTCGTCTCAATGTTGCTTGCATTCGTCACGTTCACCTGCTTCAAGTAACAACTGTCTTGTTTTGTGTCTTCATGTTGTTTTCAATTGAGTTCGATGTTGTGAGAAGAAGAAATCTTACGTGTTTTCCTATTCTTATTTCCAACTTAAATTTTGTTTCAACTAACAACTCCTTCTAATTAGAAAATATTTCTGTTGAGGTTTGAAATTTGACAAGGCTGAAAAAGTTGATAAAAATAACTTATCGACCAGCGTTAATAACAGAACAAAAAACTATTAAAAAAAAACTTTTAAGAACATAATAAGATGAGCACACTGACCGGAAGAACTAACATTTCAACGCACTATAACCAACAGGAACTTGCGATGCGATCGAAACAGCATCCACAAAAACTTAGTCGCCAACCTTTTCGTAGCTGAGTTGATCTTCTGTCTCGGAATCAATCAACAGTGCATGCCTGTGAGTTGCTCCTTTATGTGGTTTTATAACCTGTTCGTACATATGTGTTTTAATGCGTGATTATTTTTTTGTACGTGATGTCGATATATGTGGTCGTTGCTGTATATATTGTAATTGTACATAGTTGTGTAGCAGACAAAGAAACATACAGACAGACAGACAGACAGCCACACAAATACACAACACACACACAGACTGACAAACAAGCCAACCACACACCAGACACTCTGCAGCGTGATATCCATCTTGCTTCACTACTTCTTCCTGACCTCATTCTGCTGGATGTGCATGGAAGGCGTCCACCTCTACATTCTCCTTGTCGTCGTCTTCAATGGTGCAACATCTCACCTCAAGTACTACTGTGCTCTCTCGTACGGTTCGTTGGTGGTCCGCTGAGTTGGCTGGCTGGTTGATTTTGTGGGTGGTTGTTTGATTTTGTGGTTGGTTGATATGTTTATCAGTTTGTTGATTATTCGATTGTTTTACTGATTGGTTGAATAATTAAATAGATAGTTTTTTTTATAATTGGTTTATTAGATACTTAGTTTTTATAATCTTCTTCTTTTAAAACGGCATGGTATCTCCCACTTTGGAGCTATTGTGCTCCAAGTGTCTTGCTCTTTTTAGGTTTTGTCATAATATGGCAAGTGTTTTAGGTATTATTAAGTTGCATACTTTTGCTTAAACATTGGGGCATGTTTGATGAAGATGGGTTTTGGTTTGCATCTATTTGTTTTGCCAATGTATAAGTAGGTAGTTATTTATGAATGGTACAAGGTCGGTGTGAGATATGGGGATCTTGACTATTTGTTCATCATGGTCTTCTAATGCCAGTTAATCTTTTACGACTTCATTGCTTTTTATTTCGATACGGCTGGCATTTTTTCTTAGCTATGGGGTGAATTTTTTTTCTGATAATTTTTATTAGTTTGTTTAATAAAAATTTGGTTAGATGTTTGGTTAATTAATTAATTGGTTGGTTGATTGGATGGTTGGTTAGTTGGCCGGTTGTATAATTGATTAGAATGTTGAATGATTGAATGAATGGTTCAATGGTGCATTATCAAGTTATAAATATATACAATAATATAATGGCTTATAATTGGCTCAAACTAAGAAATCATATAATGATGGTTAATAATGATGATATTAGCTGCAAACATTTATTAAGAGTTTAATTAATTTTTAGAAAAACGACCTAATATAATTTTTGCATGTGTGTGCAATGAAGATTGATAGATCAATTGAGAGACAGATGACATGTTGATTGAATTATTAAAACTAACAAAAAATTGTTCTACTTAAAAACTAATTGAAATAAAATTTTATTGAATAAATAACAAAAAATTCATCAGGCGATCAATGACAAATTGATGCGAAAGAGTATTGGAACAAGGTTACCAGTTAATAAAACTCGTTTGGATATTGAAATTAAAACAAATGTATTTTAAAAGTTTAAAAGCAACGACTTTGCGTTCATTTACCTAGAAAATTTCATCGAAAATGTGACAAACAGTATATAATATTGTGTTATATTTGGGATTCGTTGCACGCCTGTTTCAGTTATAAGGTTCAACTGTTAGGGTTGTACTGCTGTGGGTGATATGCGGTAGTTTGGTGGGGTTTCTCGATGGATAGCAGAAATGAGAGGGGAGTCGTTTTGCTTATATGAAGAAGGACACTGTATACCTGCTGATTCTGAGTGACTTGCACTGGTTGAAGGAAAACACTTTTTAAAACCTGTGCATCAGTTCTCAAGTGCACCAGTTTTAAAATTCTCAAACAATGGAATACCGCAAATTATGGTGTACGTTGATGAAACTCACGACTAAATGATGTAAGCACATTCTTATTTGTCTAGTGACAAATTGCAGGATTGCCTCACGAGATTTTAAGTTTGTGTCTCAGTATTATGAAATGATTCTACATCTAATCTTTCTCTGTCTGTTTCTTTGGTGAAGTTAGAAAAATATTTCAAGACGTGTCTGTTTTAATTTAAGCCAGACATAACTCAGCTTGTAAGAATCATCTTTTTAAAAGTAGGTGCTCACGCATACTTATGTTCATTTGGCTGGCCACCTCACAGACACACACACACGCACACAGACACACACACGCAAACAGCACGTAACGTGGTACGACGCTGCTACCCAAACGTCTCAAACCTCACACCTCCAATCTCACACCTGAACTAATTTATAAATCAAAATTTTGAGTACAACACTTGAAACCTTTGAACAAATCATTAAAATATATATGACCTTTTTTATTTTTTTTTCAGAAATTGAGCTTGAAAGTAACTTGTGTGTTGAATTTTGTCAATAAAGATTGAAATATTATACTTTGCATACTTTGATTTATTATTAACACTTTTTAAAATCCGGTACAAATTGTCGAGGCACACGCTGCTCTGAAAAAGCTTATCTACAAAAACATTCTGCAAGTGTGAACTCTGCACGATAAGATAAGCATGTCTGCATTGAAATATTTTCATAATTGTTATAAATGACGATAGATAAGCAGGCAGATGCCACAGGAATTTGAAACAACATCAATAGGACTAGGACCCTGCAACAACAATACAACAACAACACAACAACAAAAACAACAACTAACTAACTAACAATAACCTCCACATTGTCACGGTTCTGACGATGGTTACAATAATTTCAATAATGACAACAATTTTAATAATTTCCATTGCCTATCATAAATTCACACAACAAACGAAAAAAAATTTTTGGGGATACGAAAATTGTGAACCGTTGCGATAGGATAACATGATGAATGACTGATGCAATTAAGTAATTATGTTCGAGAGTATAAAACTGAGACTGTTTGTTTGTGTGGTTCTGCCGGATGGTTGTTTGTGTGGGTGGTTCTTCCAGATAGATCTGATTAAATTTCTAAATAAATGAATAAAAGTGATGGTAGTTATGACGATAATGAGGAAAAGTGATAGCAGTGAGTACGACACAACTACGATAACAAACCTGCAATAAATGATAATATGACATAAATAGAGAGCATTTGAAACTGTTTTATTATTATTATTATTCCAGTTTTCACAGCTTTTTTTTTAAAAGCTGGTCATTGACGAATCCGGGGTACAACTAGATCCCAAAGAGGATCCAAGGATTTTCTTATTATGCTCGCTGTTCCTAATAATGTTATTTTTTTTAACTTTGTTCAGAGCTGGTTTTTCCGGAAATTTTTTTAATGTTTTTTCAAGATTTTTAGAGGCTACTCCTGGAGCAACTTTTGCTTTCAAGTTCCACATTCTTTGTATCTCGATTTGAAGGTTTTTGTACTTGGATATATTTTGGTCTTTTTCTGCAAAAATGTTATCATATTATTATTATTATTGTTATTAGCTCGTTATCCTAATTTTATTGTGTCAAAACATTGAATGCATAATGCGGATTTTTACTCATGTGCGTCGATCGAACATGGGAGAGGGGTGGTCGTACATTTCAAAAACATTTTATTATTAATTATTGTAGACATTTCTTTTTATCATTTGATTTTTCTTTTTTTTGAAGGGGAAAAAATAAAATATGTTTCTATTATTATTATTATTACTTTTAAGAAAACGAGAGTTGAAGGCATTCAGAATAACATTTGAGAAATTAAAATATCGCTTATCTCGACTTCTGCAGCTTTTACAACCAATTTGAAAGTCATAACAACACAATTAGACAAATTCTTTTATCGTCATAATCGCTAGTTTTAATTTTTTGGCGTGAAAGTTTCAATCTGACATCATCATCATCATCATTATCATCATCATCATCACAACACAGCTGTACCAGCCATCATTGTCATCATCAGCATGTCCGTCAACATCGAAGGATATGGGACTGAAGATCAGTATGTTGAGTTGTTGCAGATGCTGTTATTGATGTAGTTGTTGCTGATGTTTTGCTAATGTTGTTGTTGTTGATGTTGTTGTTGATGTTGGTGGTGTTGTTGTTGATGTTGCTGATGTTGTTGTTGTTGATGATGATGTTGTTGTTGTTGATGTTGTTTGTTGTTGTTGATGATCAAATTTTTGTCATTTAAACAATGTCTAATAATTTTTTAGTAACTCTCTTCAATATCGACATGAGGTTCTTCATAAGATGTCTTATAAAAATTACAAACACAATATCAGCACTCACAAGCATGAGAATATTATCGTGAATCAACACATCTTACACATTGCGCGTGATGAGTGGGGTCTTTTCGCATTTGAACCCAGTCACTTCAACGCCGTGCGCGCATCTTTATGTTACCCCATCATCTCGCCTCCAAACTATTAACGGTGCTCCGGCTGTCCCGTCATCACTCACACCGTTCTTATGACAATGCTCATCCTTCTCAGTGTTCACCTCATCTTCCTCCTCATCTTCCTCCTCCTCACCATCATTTTCACCATTCTCCATACCACCACCACCACAGCTGCTGGCTGTCCACGGAGCATGGCTTTTCCTGGGCTTTCCTGGCACCTGTCATCTTCATCCTAACGGTTGGTGCTTTCATTCGATTTGTATGCAGCAAGTGCCTTGATGAATGCTCTATCTGATAATGAAATGAACTTAATTATTTTGTTTCATTAGTAAATAAAAATAATAACAACATAAGTTTAGTTAAACGTTCTTAAAATATCAGATCAACTCGGTGGTCCTGTCCGTGACGATAGGGACCATGTGCAGGCTGAAACTCAACACTCCACAGGCCTCAACCGACAACAACGTGCTCACAAATTTTGTGTCAGTTTCATTCTTCGTCTTACTTTCGTCTACAAACATCTGTGTTTATTCATGCATTTTAGGGTTGTTGTGTGAATGTTCAACTTGGGCTAATTCAATCATTTCGTTTATTTTAGATAAATTTTCACGTTGAAATCCATTTAAGAATTCAAAAGCAGTTTGCATCTGAAATATTCAAAGAACTTCTTTCACTCAGCCAAATTAGTAATGGAAGCAAACATTAAGTACCAAGAAAACAAAACTCAAAGTGAGACGTGTTCGAGCAAGCATCTTTATTCTAAGTTCTCCATCACAAGCTTTTGTTTTAAAAAATTTTTAATTGGAATTATTCCTTCATTAAATTTAAAAATGTTCAGACATTTGCTGTCTCCAAAACTATTTTCCCACATAGGATCTGAATGATGTGTTGAATTATTGCAACCTGACATTAAAAAATTGCAGAGTTTTTCAATCTCATAGTAATTCATATCACATTATCAGTGAATACGGAATGTTGAAAAGTAAAAAAAAATTGAAAATAAATATTTGATCAAAACATTGCGTGATTATCTGGTTCAAATGGGAAGAAGAACTCGTCGGTTATGTACACTGTTTGTTTCATCTGCTCGTTTATCAAATTAATTCTCAATGTTACTTCTAAATTATTCAACGCGAGGAATGCAAATGAGTTATGTAAATTTCAGAATATTTTTTCTGTTTAATTTTTACCCTGGTGTGATGGTCTAATGGTTAAGGTCGCCTGGGGCTGTTTCTCAGTAACCGGGTTTGAATATGATAAAAAGATCCCCGCCTATCACATGCTTCGTGTATCATGCGTCGTTTAGCACGTATTCATATACGATGTTTGTGCGATTTGCTGAATCCTCTGAACTTTGGAAGAGTGTAATTGACCTTTAACCTATTTTAACCCTCTGTTAAGGTTTTATTCGAATTGGTGCATGGATGAACAATTTGTGACGTTTATTATAACTTATTGTTAGCAAAATTTCTGAACTTTCCATCATTTGTTTTTCAACATATTGTACACATACCTAAAAATCAATTTTTTTTCAAATTTCAAAAACACAGCTGCCCAAAATTCTATTTCTACAATAAAACATATATAAAATACATTTTTTGTAGGAATTGTATTATTCATCTGCTTTTGTAGATATATTCAAATATTCAAATAATGTTAAAGTAATAAGGGATTTTGAATTTATTGTTTCGTTCGGATAGACATGAAAACACTTTTAGTGTCTTTGAAAATAAAATCTTGAGAACTAAGATATTTTTTAGACACATTTGAAATAAGTTGTTAAATTAATTTTGTACCATTTCCTTCACCATAATTAGCTCTTGGATCAAGTCGGCCCTGGTGCTCATGGTGATCCTGGGGTCAACCTGGTTGTTGGGCGTCTTCAACATCAACCAATCCTCAATCACCATGGTCTACATCTTCACCATCCTCAACACCTTGCAGGGCTTCCTCATCTTCCTCTTCCACTGCCTACTCAACAAGAAGGTTGGTTGGTTGTGCTGTCGGTGGCAGGTTGTTTCTTCACACCACACCTTTGAAGGGTCATTCAAGCAAATTTTCTTTTTTATTTCTTTTCTTCAACTTATTTGATTCCTTCGTCTTGTTGAATTTCATTAAAATTGATAACATATTTCTCCCTTAAAATGAGAACCAAAAACATTACTGCCCATATTTTGACACGAAATTTAAATCATTTGAGTTTCCACTTAATATATCGGTCCAGGCATTTGTTATTTGAATCAAAATATTTTATTCCTACTACGATTTATTAATTTAAAAATGTAAATCACTCAGGTGCAATCGGAATATCGGCAGTGTTGGTACAATATTTGTTCGAGTGAACATTGGAGCAAAGTTGTTCGCTGCAAGTTCAGTTCACGTAGCAGCAAAGTTAAGTTCAGCAAAACAAACAAATCCTCTCTTGCTCCTCCAGGCTTCCGTTGAGTCCACCTGGTTTCATGTTGATACTTTTGAATGTCTTGAGTCTGCCATTTAGGAATGTTGCATTGGTTCTATATAAACGTACAGTCATCATTCGATCATAAATGTCTGACCGTGATTTTATTCCATAACTAAACATGTTATTTCTGCCTAATCATTCACATTATATTTTATTATTTTTGTTTTGTTGTGCCGTCTGTTCCAATTTAATTTCTATTTACATTATAAACTCTTGCTTACCAAAACTTTCAGTTCATTGTTTTGTCGGTAATTTGCATGTTTATAACGGAATCACCCATCATTATTATATTCCTATTGGTTAACTGAAACGTGTATCTCAAGTTTTATATGTGCCTGGTTTTGTGTGGGTCAAATATTTTCATGACGATATCATGTGCATGTGAATTGTCATCATTTTACAATTTGAAATCTTAACCAAATTAAATTTTATTCCTAGAAAAATTTGTTGAAATAAAAAAATGAACAAATTGAATAAAAATAACAAATTGAGTTTGAAATATAATAAATGCTTCGTTATTGAATTGAATGAAAATTAACTTCCATCAACACCTCACCTGGACTATATGATTCATCTATGATATATCAGACTTTATAATGGTAAACTTCTTGATGTTACTGATATCCTAACAATTTTCGCACACAACGGCTTCAATCCCTCATCAACAAACTGACCTGTCTGCAACATCCGCCATCATTCCAGCCTAACACATGACTGATTTTTAGCACGTTTAACTCATGCCTATCAAGAAAATAGAATCAAACACTGATCATGTTATTCGCCTTATATGACCACCCACCATGACACAAACTCATAACTTGAAATAACGCAAATACAAATATGTCCTCACCATTGCAAAATAAAGTATCCATCTCTAGACATCGTCAGTCCATCACCAAGCCAATCCCGAGTTACTCAATGCTAATCTAATCTCCTCATTGAAACATTTAACGTTATTTTATTCATCGATCTGGTTTTTCCTTTATTTTTTCATTTCTCAACAATAATTTCTTTAAACCAAAAACATGGCCAACGCATTAAAATCAGCATAGCAATTTAAAAATAATCATTCGAAATAATTATTTCATATTAGCTGATTAAAATTTGATAATCATTAGTTCCATACTTAAAAAGGCATTTGTAATACAGCGTATACTCTTGAAAAAACACATTTGTAAAACAAGATATACTTTAGAAACTTTTGTAAATCAAATAAAAATGGATTTTTGATGTTGTACAAATCATTAGGCTAGTCTAAATTGGATTAATTAGGCTTCTGCTTGGCCTTCTTGGACGATTCGAGGTTCTGGCATTGGAGCGAGTTCAGAAGAGAGTCACTAAAATGATAAAAGACTATCAACATTTGGGATGCGTTCTTTTATCATTGATAGAAGGCATTGATAGGCTGAAGTTTCGGAAAGCACCATCGGGATCAGGAGATGAAGAAGCCGTTAGGCTTGAAAACAAAAACAGCAACATGCTGAACAACATGAACGCTTCTCACGGCTCACCCCAGATTGGTTTCCCACGGCAGCTGCAGGTCAAGAGGTCACATCAGTCGAGTTGAAGAATATCAGAAAAAACTTTTTTCAAATAGAATTGTAAAGATGTGGGACAATTTACCAGTCAAAGTGATCGAAGCCGAAGGTGTGACTCATTTTAAGACAAGATTGGACGTTTTTATTAAAGATTTTGACTCTGTGTATGATCCAACGATTGCTGCTTTATTTAATAGTTATCGCTGATCTTTTTTGAATGTATATTTATTGTTTTGCGTGTCAATTTTATAGATGTTTTATTTAATATTTTTACATATGTGATATGATATTTGGATATGAACATATTGGCTCATGAGTCCATGAATTTCGTGTTATATTACGTTACGTTACGTTATGTTATATATTTATTTTTTACTTTTTTTATATTCTTTTTTATTTTTTTTATTTATATGATTATTTTAAGGAGCGAGTGAAGTAAGTTGCTGGAGTTTATTTTGAAATCTTGTTAATTAGAACTGAACAAAAATGTTTGTAAATAAAATTCTATTATTATCAACTAGTTGTTTTTCATGATTTCATAATTAATTCAAATTTACCAACACTGCAAAATAGCACAAAATTTGTAATCGTATAAAACATGTAAATTTAGGTAGCTTTTATCCATTATAACAATCCAGTTTTAACGTTGTTAGACTAAATTTTTTATTATTTGTTCAGTTGTATTTATAAAACATTGAAAATCAAATGAAACTAATTTATATAAATGAGCACTGAAAATATATATATGATTATTACAATCATTTAATAGTTAGACACATACATGTACACACAAACACACGCACATAGAAATATATACATGCACACATATACATATATATATGTGTGTATGTTAATGTGTTAAAGTATATATAGTATTTACAAAGTCAATTAAAAATCTATGTAGACTATATATAGTACAGTACAATATTTACTCACAAATTTATACAACTGCTAAAATATAAATGAAAATAAATAGATTGAGATAATTAAATGGTATTATATATTAAGTATGCACACACAGGCACACACACACACACAGACAAAACCTATCCGTTATTTGAAAACATCGATATACTGGTTTAAAATTGACCACACTAGCCAACTTGTCGCCGACGTTTCGCTAGATCATGGAGCAACTTAACAAGGTCGTAACGTTCCTCGTATTAAATTACAAGAATTTATTTTCATACACAAGAAGAAATCTTTTGAAATAAAAAATTTTTCTGGCCTTATCATCAGTCAAATATAATAGTCTGTACAAAATTCGTTTTTCATAGGCAGTTTTTGAACAATAATCAACGTGGAATTGTTTTTAACGTAACGTAACATAAGTTAACAAGGTTTAAGGTGGTTCAGCAGACTAGGGTCTGTCTGAGAGTCCCTGCCAACTAAGTTTCTTATTATCCCAGCTCTTCGAGTTTGATCTTGAAACTGTTGGTCGATTGCACGGAAACCTAAGCTCATCATAAGTTTTTTCCACTCTGCTGCTGAAAAATCTTTGCTTGATTGGGCTTTCTGTCTTTCTGAAGACTTTGTATCTATGACCTCGTAATCCTCTTCTGCTTTATTTTTATTCTTCAGTTTCTTCTTTTCAGGTAACCAACTTTACCTCCTTTGCATCTTTTTTTTTCTAGAGTGGTTAATCTACATTCTCTCAATCTATTTCTGTATAGAAGTTTTCCAAGTCCTTTGATCTTCTTTGATGCTTTCCGCTGTACCTTTTTAAAAAATGTTTTTGTACTTCTGCAGATGTGGACTCCAAGGCTAAGCGCAAAATTCCAGATGATGGCGAACTAAGGTTTTATTCAAATTTGTAATGATATATATATATATATATATATATATATATATATATATATATATATGTAATATATTGGTATGCAACTTAGTCATAAAGATGAATGAAGAACTTTGTTGTTTGATCGGTAAACATTCAAACTCCAACGCATGAGACATGCATGTTTATGATCATACATACCTTCCAACATGCATTCGTGAAATTATAAAAATAATGTGATCGATAAACCACATGAAATAACTACAGAGATAGCGCACAGAACTAAGTAGCCTACTTAGCTACGTTCATTTCATATCAGCTGGGGACTTTCGTAGAGGGCACACTTGACGTCTGACTGACCGCTGCCTGTCATTTTGTCGTCGCAAGATGGAAACAAGTGGCCGGCCACACACGAGTCATCGTACAAAATGATGTTGTTGTTGCTGCTGAAGTTGGGCATGGTGGTGGTCATTGTCTGGCTGTAACTCGGTGTGGTGTAATTCTTCTCGTACGACGTGATAGGGGAGGAATTTTGATGATAGTGGTGGTGGTGGTAATGATGAGGCGAGATGTGGTCTTGTTGGAGGAGGGGCAGTGAGTGGTTGGTGTTGTTGTTCAGTAGGTTGCTACGCGCTGAATATGCATCAAGTAAATTGTTGTTGTTGTTGCTGTTGTTGTTGCAACGCAGTAGGTATTCTGTTGTTTCGTTCGATTTTAGTGCTAACAATTGACTGGAGAGTTGAAAGTGTTGTTGTTGTTGCTGGAGATGATGGTGAAGCTGTTGTTGTTGTTGTTGTTGCTTCTGCTGGAGGTATGCTCCATTATTCTTTTTCCTTATATCAACATTTAATAAAAACTTTTAAACAAATGACAAAATGTTGTTCGCATAAAAAGTCTTTTATTCATGGTTATGTTATGCCATGTCCAACTTGCTAATCCTTTATATGGTAACATTGCCGTGAAATGATGGACAACTACAGCATACAGGTACCCTCGAATACCTACACACATACGTACACACATACATACACACACACACACATACACGCAGCACACGTACACACACACACGTACAGTGTACACACGCACGCACACACACACACGTACACCAACACACACACACACACACGATCTTTCTTTCTCTCTCTCTCTCTCTCTCTCTCTCTCTCTCTCTCTCTCTCTCTCGCACACTTACACGCATATGCACGCACACAATACACACATACATCTCAAACGCACAATCGCGCAAACACATACATACACATCTCTCACACACACACACATACATACACACAAACAAACACATACACACAAACACACACATACATACACACAAACAAACACACACACATATACACAAACAAACACACACATACATACACATAAACACACACACACACATACACACAAATACACACGCTCATACAAACACACACGCACACACCGTTAACAACTAGCAACCTTTTCATGAAGACACTTGCAATCAGCAGAAGGGTGCCACCGAGAAAGACCCCCAACGCCACACCGACTGCCACCACCAACAATATGCCTGGAATAATAATGTTAATGAACATCTGGCTTTATTTTATTATATTTATAACGCTAAATAAGTTAAAAAATTTTCAGTAGATTATTTTTAATGTTTTATTGTATAACAATGTTTTAAAAAGTTACAATGTTATGTCACAGAAAGCCTACCGAATGGAAAGTTGTAGTTTGTCCCCAGTAGCTCATCACTGCTCGCCAGTTGGTCTGGTTGGAGTATCATTTTACGTGGTTAGTTGCATGTGGGCGATTGACAAGTGGTGAAGTTGAATTATCAAAGAACAAACAACCATTCCATATTCAATTCTTTAAGGTCTACTATTTTCTATCTCTTATTTTTCCACTATCTCTCTCCCACTTTTTATATCTCACTTTTGTTTCTCGCATTCTCTCTCTAGCTCCTTCTTTTTTTCAAATCTTTCTGTTTTTTCTTTTTCTGTCTCTCTTTCTCTCTCTTTCTCCCTCTCTCTCTCTCTCTCTTTTTCTTTCTTTTTCTTTCTTTTTCTCTCTGAATGAAATGAATGAATAAAAATGTTCGAAAGAATGAAAAAACAAAATCTGAATGAATGAAACTGAATGATGGAGTGAAAAACAGAATATAAAAAATGAATGAATGAACGAATGAATAAAATTTTCATAAATTTAATCAACAAAATTAAATTAGTTAGTTAGCTGGAATTTAATAAGCCTAATAGTAAAAAGAATTTTGGCTATGATTGTGATGTTATTGAATTTGACATGATCATCATCATCTTCATCATCATCATCCTCCTCATCATCATCATCTTCCTCATCATCATCATCCTCCTCATCATCCTCCTCCACCTCATCATCATCATCCTCCTCCTCCTCCTCCTCCTCCTCCTCATCATCATCATCCTCCTCCTCATCATCATCCTTCTCCTCCTCCTCCTCATCATCATCGTTATCATCATAATCATCGTCCTCATCATCATCATCATCATCATCATTATCGTCATCGTCATCACCATCATCGTCATCATCAACAATGATAACTTTCTTTTTTTCATGGTTTTAGCGGTAACACAGACAGCTATTATTATTATTATTATTTTATTATTATTCTATTATTATTATTGTTGTAAATTTTCGCTGCGTGGTGAAAACCTTCCTTGCTCGAACACCAACAGAGGCCGCCGCCAGCCTAGGCAGTCTCGCTTCTGGAAGGGACTCGCCTCAACACGAATGTGCATCTTCGAGTCGGAAAACACGGGCCGGGCGGAAGAGCTTTCGCACCCTGCTTGCCAGTCAGTTAATCCGACACTACTAACCGCTGACAAGACTTTTTCTGGCATGTTTTAAATACTTTAGACAATGAACCAAAAATAGGTACTTAGCATGTTCTTTAAATTAAATGACAGTCCGAAATGTACGAAACGAAATTAAATGTTTTAAGCGAAAAAAATAAAAATAAAATTCTCGACAGAAACCGAATAGTAGCAATAGAAACAAAACGGAACACAAGGAACGCTCAGGACATTCTATCACCTCTTTTCCTCCAGCCTCAACAACTCCTGCGTTCGTCTTGCTGACAGAAGTCTGACTAACGCATTTCTACAAACGTGTCTTGCTTATATTGATACCAACCCACTTACCAAAATAAACAAATTTACCCAAAATATATAGTGCCACTCTAAATGTAAATTCACCACCAGCCACAAAGTTTCTAAAGATGGTTCTCGTAACTACCACACAGCAAAAATTTGAACACCTAACCAAGTACAATTATGTCAAAGGAAATAAGTTTTTGATTCAATCAAATCAAAATTCTCTTCATAATCAACACAATTGACATTTTAAATATGCGCGAAGTTATATACGTTTAAAATGAGAAATTTTGAGTTAAACTTGAAAACTTCAATATTTAATAACAATAACCTCTATATATATTTATCTAATTAATTAACTAATTTGAAATCTTCAAACATATTAAACACCAAATATTGAAAGAAAATCAAAAGAGATAATCAGTGGCGAATCTGGACAATTTTGACGGGGGGCAAACAAAATTTTGACGGAGGGGCAACATTTGTGAAAGTGTGGTCAAAGTTAGGCCAACGACTGTTTTTTGTTTTGCTTTTCAAGTCATAGACAGGTACTGGGGCTGAAATTTACAAGAGGTTATAAACAAATTTTTCATGCCAGGCACACCATGCAAACAGTATGCAGTTGTCGCGCACACGCACAAATGCCCGCACACTCTTACACTTGCACTTAGATCTCCACACAACAAACAAAGTGATATAGAAAATACACAATAAAATTAATACGCAAATACACAAAAACACACGCAAGCATTTATATTCGAAACAATGAAACAAATAATATTCAGACAGAAATCTGGGCAGTGAGGCAGCCAGACGAGACCTCTTGAGAAGACAGCACACATCAAATGATTCATTTATCTCATTTCATCGCAGACGAGTCACATTTGAATGCTTCAAATTTACCATCACTGAAGAGCGCGAGTAAAAAAAGGCAGACGCATATTTTTATATCGCTAATCAAAAAGACGCAAATCAATAAAAAATGAAAATTAATAAAAGTATTTAAAGGCAAAAAACATTTTTATAATTAAAACAAAATAATCGTAGGCCACTCACGTGCATTACGACGCCGAATTACACACATACACACACACACACAAAGACACACACATTCACACACAAAGAGACACACATCACACACAAAGACACACACACATCAAACACACATACACACAAACACAGACACAACGTAAGATTAAAAACACTCACTATCGTTAGTGGTGGTACAGTTGCCGATATCACCTTGCCATTGATACGTCGGTGATGATGGTAATGAAGATGATGAAGAAGAAGAGGAAATTGGTGGTGAAGAAGAAGAAGATGATGCAGATGATGAGCAGGTAAGTACCCACGTGCTACCGGTGGCTTCACACGTGATGGTGACCGAGTTACCATTCCTCGTCTGTGTCGTTCCAGGTAGGCTGGGAGGGGCCGAACAGCCAACCACTGTTTGTTAATTTGTGTGCAAGTTTTGTACACACATGCATGAATATTCACATATTCTTGTGCAAACATTTCTCATACATTTGCTACATTTTTCTCAAAATATATAATTTAATTACAACTCACATCCTTCAAATTATATATCAGCAGTAACTAAGGAATTTTTGAACAAATTAAAAGAGTTTGAATTAGCGGGCACACCAGAAAAAAAGAAGCTTGGTATAGCCTTCCTGAAAAATATAAAAACTTAAGTTTGCACGAGGTTCTTCTATCTACCGAGCGAACCATAATCAATACCATTACCGGAAAAATCTGCAAAGCTCATTAGTGACAGTAATTAGAACGTTTCTAAAAACCTGCAAGTTTTTTTTAGATATTGCAAAAGGCGAAAAAAAACTTAAAATTATTGGGGAATATTTGAAGAAGATGATTTTACAAGTTTCTACTAACGTGTTGATAAAAAATTAATATTATTTATAGGTAATAAATTATTAGAAGCATATCTTATTTGATTTTAAAAATGACACAACATGAACAAGACGATATTTCACGTGTATTGGTTCAGTGCCTCTCAAATTATCTCGCCCCAGTGGTTCGTCACCAAACAACTTCATTTGACGAACGACTTCAGCACTTTTAAATTCATGCATTGATATTTTCTCAAAATATTTATTTTATTATTATTTCAATAACTGTTCTAATTTGTTTTTCAACAATTAAAATTCTTACAATTTTTTATAACCAATTAAAATTCATATCAAGTGAAAAATTTCTCATTTAAACTGAAGCCTACAATTGAGTTATCAATCCAAAACTGACTTTTAACAAATCAGATTTTTAATGAAACTCTACAAACAATATTTAAAAATTAAATTGACCTGGAAAATGAACATTGAATAAAATTTGAATGGCACAAAAATTCTGAAAAACGTCACGAGAACGAACAAATTAATTAATTTGATCAAAACAAATACACTGAATGTAAGAGATATATTAATCTTATATATAGTTTTACTAGAATTGTTTGTTTCGCGTCAATATTAGATGCTAGTATTTGGAAGTTCGGATTATCATTATGTTAGTACTTAAGTGAAGGAGTCCTTCATTCGTCATAATCATTAATTGGTCATTAATTTAGTCATTAATTGGTCATTAATTGGTCATTAATTGGTCATTATTTGGTCAACATCAGCATGCGGTGATCATTGCGATCCCTTGTGCTATCAATCTTCTATTGTTACAACACGTCATCATCAACTTCTTCGTCCTTGCAATGATAGACCAGGACGGCTTCTCATTTATGCAAAATATCATATACACACTTACACACACCACGCAAACACACACATATCTATGCAAAATATCAAACACACACACAAACAACCCACACACACACACACACACACACACACAAACACACACACACACACACACATACATATATATATATATATACATTAGGAAAAAAATTGTCTTGTATATAAATAATGGACATAATAAATAATTTTTGTTTTGATACATACACTCCAAATAAGACGTTTCCTTCGCATATGTTATGCTACTTGAAAGATTTACAAAAGGACAAAATTTACTGCAAGAATTTTTTGAATAAAATTTGTCTATTCACACATTTAACAAATTGATTAGTGATGCATTGCTACGTTAACTACAGACAGATGCATATATTTCAAAATATGGCAGCCAGATGGCCTGATGGCTAAAGTTTCCTCGTTCAGCGGTTCATTTTTTGGTTTCAACGCAAAATGTGATCACCACCAATCATACTAAATTTGGAACACGTATTTTCGCACGCATTCAAGTAGGCAGTGTGCTTGTAAGTGCTGGATGGGCTGCTGATACATCCGAACGTTACAAGGGATGAGTGTGAAATATTCTAACATTTTTAAACCAGGCACTTGTTTTGCTTTGCGGGCTTTGAAACGATTAATCTAACAGAAATTGTGCGAGATAGGCAAGAAATTCGTTAAACTTAAAACAATTAAGTAGTCATTTTTTGTGTGTAACACTACGTGCTTTACAAATATAGTTAAATAATGAAGCAACCTAAATGATGATGCTATTGGTAATGATGAGAATTGTGTTGATGATAGTGATTCGACGATGATAATATTGTTGGGAGTATCGCTGCTGGTGAGGATAATGACTCGCACAAGAGATAGAAGACAGGTTGAAAATTAATTATTCATGGGGATATAATTGTGGTTGTTGTAATGATGACAATTAAGATGGTGGTGGTAGTAATGATAGAAAGCTGATTACATCTGTAGTGGTAATAATAAAGTTAGTGATAATGACAAGGACACGATAATAATAATTGAGGCTTGTAAAACAATTTAAACATTAATGAAAGAATTTTGAAAATAATGAAATTAAGTAACAAGTTAAAAACCAAAAACATTTTTTTCAAACCACGTTCATGCCTAATTATTTGTTTACTCGCTAGTTGCTAATTATTTTAAAAAACACCTCAAACTGTCGGATGTCAGTTATACAGAATCCTTATAAATTTAATTATTTAATTATAATAAATTTATTTATTTATTTTTTATAGGTTCAATGAAATTTGCTAATTAAATTATCTGGAATGAGCAAGTGTACAAAATTTAACCACAAAAGAGCAGTGGGAGATTGTCGAAAACTCCATTAGAGATTTCTAAAAGTAGACAAATGCGTTAAAGAAAACATACCAATTTGCCGATAGACTTTTTGCCGAAAGGACACTTCTTTCGGCAAAATGTCTCTTGGTAAAAAAAGTCGTTCGGCGAACTTTTTTTCGGCAAATTGGGGTGACACGTTCGTAAAGTTAAAATAAGCATGGCAATAAAAATGTTATTGATGGTGATGAAAAAGAAGCAAGTGCTAATGATTGTGATGATGATGACGATGATGATTTTTCAATCGAGAACAGAAATATTGAAAAAAATGATGACGCTTGTGAAGAGTTGATGTTTCGTTCTTCTGTTGATGGTTGCCCATTATTTATTGAAGTTGGCGACGAGTGGTGAACAAGGAAATGTCAATAATTCAATTATGAATGAGTGTCAATAAAAAATTACATATCAGATATTGCATTGCACAGTTTTAGATGTTGTTGTTGCTGTGTGTGTGTTGTTGGTGTGCGGATTTGGTTGTTGTGTGTGTGGAGTGGATGTTGTTGTTGGTATGTTGTTGTTGGTATGTGGATGTTGTTGTTCGTTTATGTTGGATGTTGTTGTTCACCGTGAATTATGTTGTTGATTGTAAATGTTGTTGTTGGAGTGTAGTGTGGATGTTGTTGTCGGTTATGGATATCGTTCTGGCATGTGAATGTTGCTGATGGTGTATGTTGGATTGGGGTTTGCTAATCGTTTTCATGAGAGGTTGTTTGAAATAGAAGTGATAAATGGATTTTTTAAATTTTTTATAATTTTATTTTGTTATGAAGTTTCATAAACAGGTGCCCTTTGTTTAAGCGTTCATTTGTAAATATATTATAAAAATAATATTCACCAAACTTGAACAATTAACAAATTGAGAACATTAAAAAATTAACATTAAAATTCTCAATTCAAAAACGAAAAAAATTCCACATCGTTATCAGTGTTTCACACTACAACAGAACACATCCAATGGGATGAACAAAAAAAAATCTTACCCTGAAAGTGAACCAGGAAGTGTGAGACATCGGGCTGTGTGGTTGATTTCGTCCCGAGTTGAACAACTGCCTGGTGCCTTGTGGTCTCCGTTATAGGGGTCAATCTTTCTTGGTCGGTGCAGATGCTTATGTTGTGCTTCATATTGTTGATGTTGTTATTGTTGTTTTTGTTGTTGTTGTTGTTGTCATGGAAACCATCAATTATAACACCGGCTTGATAGCACTGAGACTGGCGATGGTATGGAAATCTATGCAACTTGCCAGATTGGTCTGCCATGGTTGTAGTTGTTGGTGTTGTTGGTGTTGCAATGTTTTTGGGTTTAGAAGTTATTGATGAAATATTTCAATATTTTAATGAATATGACTTTGTTAATGTAATTAATTTTTTGAACTTTTCCATCCAATGTACACAAATAATGTTTGTTCATTAATGATAAACTTTTCTGTGCATGAATTAATGACATCAACATTTGATTACTTGATGTTTGAAAAAATTTTGATCAAAGCATGTCTTGAAAATTTTCTAGTGGGAAATTAGCAAGTGTGAAAAATTTCTGAAGCAATACAACACAGGCGCACATTCAAAAGCATTATAAAGATTATGTTCGTAAATTATTTGATAGACAAAACAAAACAAAACAAAAAATTCAACAAAATTAAAAAAAAATTTTTATTAAATTTTTTCATTGCCTACCTGACAAACAGCAGTTTTATAACTTTCATTTTCTAATTTATAACCTCCCTGTCGCAAACTATTATTTATTCAGATCTTAAACTTTTAGGAATATCAAATAAATAAAAGAAAGCGATGTATTTTTATGCCTCTGGAAAATCTTTTCATCACTTGTTCTGTTAAAAATATTACTTCCATATTTTCGCAAACTTTAAAAATATTTATTTGGGCCCGAAGTTGATTTAGAATTGGTGTTTTAAAATTTGTAGAGGAAATAAAACGAAAATTAAAAAAAAAAATAATAAATTATCCATGCGGTCAAAATGTAATTTTGTTGAATATTCAATTGAATTATTGTTTGATTTATCGTAGAGCATGAGAATAAAATTATGGGAGACTCTTAGCATGGATTATAAATATGTAAATCACATCTCCCTTTCAATATTTCATTCCCTGCCTTGACAACCGGGATTGAGAGCAATTATTTAAAAAAATGAGAAAGGAGAATATGATGATGACGATTATGATGACGACGATGATGTTGTAGAGGAGGATGGTGGTGATGATGATGAAGATGGTGATGATTATGATATGTGGGAGAAGACGAGGATGATAAAAGATAATGATGATGATGATGATGGCATGGGAGAAGAAAATGATGATGATGTTGTATAGGAAGAAGAAGAAGATGATGATGATGATGTTGTATAAGAAGAAGAAAAAAAAGATGATGATGATGAAGATGATGATGATGATGATGGTGCGGAAGAAGAAGATGATAATGTAGAAAAAGATGACCATGTATGAGAAAATGGTGGTGATGAGTTGGAAAACGGAACGTATGATGACGGCTTCTTAGAAGATGATACCGACATGCTCGCAATGATGAAGCTGATACAAACAAAGATGATGTACGGAGTGTGGAGTTGTATGATTATGCATGGTTATCATGCCTGTTAAAATGATGAAAAGATTGGTATCACTAGTGAAACCAAGAAGGATGTGAAGATGTTGATGATTTCAAATAAGTTTATTTGAACGGTGTGCCTACATGGAAAATAGATGTCAATATGTATTGTAGTTCAGAAATAATTTGATAGATTCAAGGAATGAAATCTGTATGCATGAAAAAATAAAACTGATCTACATAATTTTAAAGTTAAGTTTTTTTTTATAATAAAATATTGACTGAATGAAATATGGACCGAAAGAAATATGAAAATTTCCATATAAATTTTAAGATAATTATTATATTTATATTATATCGGATAATTCAATTTAAAATCTTTGTTTATGACGTAACAAACTTGATTAAAAAGTTCATTTGGATATAAAGCAATAACTTTTGAAACTCCAGCAAGTTTGATGCAGATAAAATTAACTCAAGATTAAGAATTAAGAAAAAGTTATGAATGGTTTAAAATTTTTTTCCAAGTTATACATGTAAAGATTCTGTGAGCTGTTTGACAGGTAAACTGACATTATCAAACTATTTTTGACAATTTCATCTCATTTTTAACAAATCAAAAAATTTTTAAAAGTCGGATGTGAAAAATTACTTTTGACTATATTTATAATGTGTTGGTTTTAAACCAAATTGTTTATAAAACAAATGATGATGATACTCTGGATGAAAGTCCTTCTAATTTCAACTATAATGGACAGATATTTAAATGTAATTCCGATTCAATCAGCTGAACATCGAAGGATTAATCGTTCACTTTTCATTATTTCAGTACTTTGTAAGCATTGGAAACTCGTTTAGTACAATGAAATGAATTTCAGTACAGAAATTCTAGATGCTTAAACGATAACTTTTTAGAAATTTGTTTGTTCTGCAGCCTACTTGTATCAAAAAACAATCTGCCTTTATTTTCATTGCTGTGATTTTATTTGAACATTTAGTTGGTCCGTGTCTGTACGTTTTAAATGAAGTTTCACCTTATTTCAAAATTTTTAAGACGTTGGTTGAAACAACAAATTATAATAACAATTAATTAGTCAACCGATCGAATGAAGAATTAAAGGTTCATGAGCTAACTTACTGTAAAACTCGTATCGTCCTGCGTGAAAATTGACGAGTGTGAAGTTGATGTTCTGGCCCTGGTTGACCTCTAACCTCCAGGAACATGCCACCTGTGACGTCATCAGGCCCAGGAAACCAGCTGGGGTGCGTGTGGTGGCCAGGTCGATGATGTTGGAGGATGATGAAGATGAGGAGGAGGAGGAGGAAGAAGATGAGGATGAGAAGGAAGAGTCACATGTTTCCTGTGGCTGGTACATCACTGGGAAATAATAATAATAATAACAATAATAATAATAATAAAAATAATAATAATAATAATAATAATTGGAACAGATCTTTTATTTTTCATCAAATGCATAAAATCAACAATGCATTAGTTAATTAATAGAGAAATTGTCATAACTGTAATAAGTCAAATAATAATAATAATATAATAATAAATAATTATTTAAATAATTATAATAATAACAACCGCAACAAAAACGTATATGACTTGTTAGTCTCTGCATATCTTCACGATATTAATAAGAGAGAAGATTGAAAGTAATGTTTGACACCAATAAAAATGGCAATAAAATATTTCTCTTGTAGGAGCGAAATATTATTTAAAATTTCAAATTACATTTCAGAGTTTTATGGATAGCAGCGATGAATGCATGCATGCAAAAACATTCTTACATGCGTTGTTGCTATATAGGTACGGTATACAAATTTGTATAATTGTATAATATAATTGCTGAAAATGTCGAAATACTCCAATCGACATCCTTACATCACAGTTCTAAATGTTAATTGAATGCACGCCATCTACTGTGTTTAAATGCTGATATTTAAGAAACAATTATGTCAGTCGCTGCTGTAGATGTTGTTGTAGATGTTGTTGTTGTTGTTGATGTTGTTGATTATGTTGTTGTTGATGATGTTGTTGTTGAAGATGTTATTGTTGTTGTTGATGTTATTGTTGATGATGCTTTTGTTGTTCTTGTTGTTGATGATGTTTTTGTAATTGATGTTGTTGTTGATGATGTTTTTGTAGTTGATGTTGTTGTTGTTGTTTTTGTTGTTGTTGATGATGTTGTTGATGTTGTTGTTGTTTATGCTGTCGACAACGTCAATAGGCTTATAACTGTTTGTGCAGTTTTAGTTGTTGTTTGCGTGGTGGTTGTGGCTGTTGGTGGTGTGGATGTTGATGGTGTTAGAGTTGTTAGT